AAGAATCAGACCTCCAAGACAGAAGTGCCTTGCGGCAACTGCGCCGTTCGTCAAAGCAATGTCGAGGGGGAGACAGGAGGGGACCTTGGCGATAGGAATTTCGACATCGTCAAATATCGACGGAAGCGTGGGGAGGTCGAACTCGGTCGGTCAGAGCTGGAGAAGCTTGGATTCGGGACACCTCAGGCTGTGGCGTTGTCAAAGAAACTCGGCATTGTCGAGCCTCACCCGTCAATGCGTGTCCAGCCACGCCTCCTGTGGGATCTGACGTCACACCACTCACCTATGGTCTCCGAAGGCCCCGAGCTTCTCCACCTCGACTTCCTGGTAAGAGTTGTATTCACCTAAAAGTTGTCTGTGTACACCAAGTATCAACCACACAATACTACTGTGCTCAATCCGAACGTCGCCCTCTGTTAACTCCGTGGATGTGACCTCGGGTGTTCGCATCGTTCACACTACACACGTTTCTCGGCGTTGGGTTGAGTTGTGGCGACGTATTCAGATACCAATTTCACGGGTAACGAGCACCTGGTAGATGGAAATCATCCACCACCCGATGCCGACCGTTCATGTAGCTTCGTTTGAGAGAATTGCGCGTGATCTCCGACGTTGTACTCTCTGCCCTGGGCCTTCACGCCGGCGTTGCTCTTTTTCTATGATCGTCACAGAACCATCTAGGAGGAGTGCAAACATTCTTCCTCGGCTTACTTTCGCCGGCCGGAAGAGCTCATGTGACGGGAGTAGTCAGGCAGCGAGGTGGCTTGTATGGCCCGGGGGCATTGCCATTGAAGGACCCTATCAAGGACTACACAGGCTACACAGGCAGTCACAAGGGGCTTTTCGGGAGCGTCCAGCTCATCGTGTTCCGTGGCCTTCTCGCATCCGTTGGCGCGATGGTGAGAAAAGAGGCCAACAGACCAAAAGCTCCTTCGGGTCCTTGACGAATGTTGTATAGCCATGGTTTTGCTATCCAAAGAGGCGCCTCCCTCTCTCTGTGATTGTTGCGCCACAAGACCTGTGCTAGGTTATTGTAGTACGGAATAATGGTACCCAAAGAAAGGAGGGTAATGATACACATCAGGTCCACCACTGCTAGTATTGATTCCGATTATCGTCGCCACGAAATAACCACCGGATACATTTCGGGTCGAAGTCCCCAAAGAGGGTAAGCGCGACAACATATTATTAAACGCATCAAGTTGTAAGGTCCTCAGACCTCCGTCTTATCTCGCTTGATGTCGTTGTGTAAACCGCTGTCAAAAATCACAGAGGCACTACCTCAGCTCAAATGCACTTCGTGCCCAAAACATCGAGGTGTGGGGCCGACTTAACGACGAGGGCGTGTTGGATCGGCTGCGCCAGTACCTCCAGGCCTCGTCTGCCCTTACCTTCGCTGCCCGCGGGCAGGTGTTCTCCGACTCAGACCTGGTAGAACTTCACGTGCGAGCAGGAGATATGGTGAGCACGTCACGACACGACTTCATCAACTAACATTAAACTCACAGTTTAAACGACCACACCACGAGGTTACTTGTGAGACCGCCTGTACGTTCTTTCTGCATCATCCCCGTATAAAGGTGTGTTTGAATCGTAAACGCTCTCAATATATTGAGCTGCTTAAAGGGCAGTGGAGGGATGGTTTTGTTTTCGATGAGCGTTTCCCAGTGTACGCGACGTGCCGTGTGTCTGTTCTAATGAGATACGCAACATTTTTCTTTTCTGCCCGACTTTTCTTGCGCTTGTCGGTTGTGCGTTAAATTCCTTCAGGTCGAGAATTCAAAGCTCACGCTTGGTCGGGAGGGCGTGAAGACAACCATGCACCAGTGGCTCCACGTCGCTGAGTCCATCCGAGCCCATGGTGAGATAGATCACCGCCGAGACGTGTGTGCTGGCGTGTGTTTTTCTTCCCGATGTGCTTTTCTTCCCGATGTCGAACAGATCATCGATCGATTGGAATAAATATATACACCGTTATATGAGCCGGACTTCCGCCCGAATAGCGCTTTGGTGCCTGGTCGGCGCGGGCTGTGGCTCACTTTTCTTTCTTCCGCGGGTGTCATGACTTGTGCTCGCCTACGTTTGAGAAGCATGAGCAGTCATTCGTTCTTTTTGTGCGCCGACCAACAATACCGTTGTACAAAAAAACGTTTTCAACAACAATGGGGACTTGCGTATTTCGATTTGTACGAATTGAAACTGAAGTCGTTTGTAGCGTTTGTGTCGTGCACGGGAGCCCTTGTCTTTTTCGTTTTGCCCCGTGCGGGCACTCATCCGGCGTCCGATGCGCTACATATCTCGACCTCACGCGCCAAGAATATGCACCTTGAACATTGAGATTTTGTTGGTTTCCAATGGGAGGACTTGTCGTCCTTGTTTTCCACCACCATGCGGTCAAACAAATGGTACATATGTGTACTACTGTTTTGGTGTGTTTCCACAACTCCTTCTTTCGCCACAAGTTTCGCTGNTTTTGTGCGCCGACCAACAATACCGTTGTACAAAAAAACGTTTTCAACAACAATGGGGACTTGCGTATTTCGATTTGTACGAATTGAAACTGAAGTCGTTTGTAGCGTTTGTGTCGTGCACGGGAGCCCTTGTCTTTTTCGTTTTGCCCCGTGCGGGCACTCATCCGGCGTCCGATGCGCTACATATCTCGACCTCACGCGCCAAGAATATGCACCCTGAACATTGGTTCATATGTGTACTACTGTTTTGGTGTGTTTCCACAACTCCTTCTTTCGCCACAAGTTTCGCTGTAGTCGCCCGAGAATTGTCCGTGGACACCCTCCGCTTTTTCTCCGTTCTTTCCTGAAGGGCGCCCTCAGGATGCAAACGTGGGGGAGGCAGGACACCAAACTCACAAGAGGAGCAGAAAGTCGAGCAGCAACAGGGATCCCGCCGCACACCACGCAAGGAGAACGAACACGTTCCTGGCGCTTCACAGGCTGACCTCACCTGAGCCCTACACAGCGAATCGATATTCGTACTCCTCGAAGACGAAGGTGACCGAGCAAGTTACGTCCGGTCCGGGATGCCGGCGCATCCTTGCAGCCCTCGGCGACCGCCTTCGGGGAGGGCTAAACGGTGTCGTTGACGCGGATGCCTCGACGACCCCGACGGCATCAATGAAGGACGGCAAGTACCAGGGCTCGGCGAAGTGGCAGGCTACAATCCTGGGTGGAGGCGATTTGGCATGCTCAGAGGACGGAGGGGGGTCGGTGGCCGCAGGAGCGAAAGAGCCATGGGAGGTGTGTGTAAGCGAAGGCCCGGTCCGTCCACATGCGGGAGCCATTCTGCGTGCCAATGCGGAATGGTTTTCTTGCGGCCGGTCCGATGGCGCACTCGACGACTGCGCTGACGCTAGATGTCCCCTGTGCTGGGAGGGGGGCCACGAGAGTCTGAAAGCTCGTAACATCTCATGCTCTCGGTTCAAGCATGGAGTGCCTCCGAAGACCAGCAGTGGCCTGGGGCGGTTCAAGGGGGGTGACGTCAAAAAGGCCACTGCCACGGGCCCCACCCCACGCCACTGGTGCGTTGGCGACGGACGAGGAGAATCTGTTGAGATTTTCACGAGCCCCGAAGCCAAAAGAAAAGACCTGTCCGGTGATGGTCACGTCACCTTGGGCCTGATTCTGTACTTCTTCGACCTCGACGGCAACCCACGCCCTGGCCCAACCGCAGCGGCCGATCCCATGATGGAGTACGTGCTTGTTTACGAGTACGTTACTCGCGGGGCTGGACGGTCAAAGAAGGCAGACTCGGTGACGTTGCACCCAACCTACTGGCTGCAGGGGGGGGGAAACAGGGTGCCGTCAGTATATCCGGTTGACGCCATTCGTCGGCACGTCCACATGTACCACCTCTGCCCTGTATCGCACTTCGAACCACGGGCCGCAAACACCTCAGCGCTGGCGGAGACGTGCGGTCTTCGCGACGACGACACAGGAAAAGGCGGGAATGTTTGGAAGCACCACTACATCTTGGCGGCAGCCAAACCACCTAGCGGGCAGAGAGACGCCTACATGCTGAACGAGCATTGGAGGGGTGCTTTCCAGGATGGTGTTGTCTAGGCTTCTCCAAGACCGTAAGGTGAGCCGCTTCAAATCTAGCCAAGAGATTCTGACTTTACAAGGTATCAGGCGTGATTTTTCCAAGTGATTCCTAAAACGATGACCCCAAAGGTAAAGAACAGTATACGTACAGGTAGGGACATGACCTAGAGTAGGTGCAGTATGGCTAACCCTAATAACCCTTGTATGCACGGGCATTGTGTAGGAGGTGCGACCCTAACGTTGCAACCATATTTTAGTTGTTCAATGTTTGTAATACTACCTGCTTCGACGCAACTCGTACTGGCTTTTTGCCCTGCAAAGTACCTGACGCGTGTGCGTGTGTGAGTGCAGTGAAAGAACAAAGCAGTCGGTGGACGAGGTTTGTTTCACGTGCCATCTTGACTGCAATATCAGTTGCAGCACAGCAGTAGTAGCAGTATTGTTTCGACATGACATACTGATGTAGGGTTGACGATTCCTAAACCACTAGAAAAATGACAGAAAATGTTTTCATGTATGTGTAGTTTGGCGGGAGACTTTGAAGGGGGAGTACCGAGGCTGCGTGCGGGCACATGATGACGGTGGACGTCGGTGTGTGCGCTGCCGGGTGCTTGTTCCGAGGCAACGAGTGCATGTATGCATATGAAACGATAATTACGTGCGACCCCCCTCCGTGGATGTTCTGTCGCCAATTGACGTGGGCCCCGTGCATTCTAGGTGGCAGCAAAATCGCCCTATGGTGGCATGGGCGCGAAACGTGGGGGCCGCAGGGGGCGCAGCAGCCCATCATATCAAAACTGGCGCGGACGTACTGTAACACGGCGGAGAGGGCGAAGGAGAACAGCCCGGACGGACTGCAGGCGAAAAGGGGACGCATAGAACGGAAGTGGAAGGCGCAGGTGCATGTCCGTAATCTTGGAGGGAGAGGGCCTTGTGGTCACCCGAATGATGTGAGCGTTTCNAGGGCGAAGGAGAACAGCCCGGACGGACTGCAGGCGAAAAGGGGACGCATAGAACGGAAGTGGAAGGCGCAGGTGCATGTCCGTAATCTTGGAGGGAGAGGGCCTTGTGATCACCCGAATGATGTGAGCGTTTTGGCGCCGGCGTTGGCGGGGGGTGGCAGAGCCCGCCGTGCGTTGGGAGTCTTGATGTAAGTCTCTCCTTGAGATTCTTAGGGATGGTTGCGTGCACACATCTTGTTTTGTACACCAATTTGCAAGAGCACATCATCAGAAGAGGGTGTGGCAGGCTGGCCCCCTTCGTACGCGTATACCATTGTGGTGGTGCTGTGTGTGTTTGATGTATGGACTATTTCTGTTCCTGTTTTTTCGCACGCATGGTGTACACAGACAGTGTGCGATGTGATGGCATCGCGTTAGAGGTTTTGTACGTGTGTGTGCGTCATTCTCTGTAGTCTGTCTGTGTTTGACAAGAACGGTACATTTTGGACCTCGTTTCCTCCAGCGCGAATTGGAAACAGTCATCCGAAGACTCTAATCTACGAATCCTCGGGAGGATAAAAACCCGTTAGCGGCAGCATATACCAACTATGCACTTGAGTAATGAAGCATCGATCTTCGTCTAGAGTTTCCGTGCTGTTCCCTCTACCCAGCGTTGGACTGTATGAAAACTCTGGAGTATTATCAGTGGTTGTTTCCTCTAGAGCATCCAAACTCCTACCCTCAATTCAACGTTGTGGTTGATGCCCTAGAGCAAAACGAAGCAGAGTTTCCGCCGTAGATCATGTTGACCAACAACATCTTGTAGAGGTATGTTTTAATCTACCTCACCCGACCCAAATAAAACCCATGTGAGGTCGACGATAGGAGTTGCATACTTCACAGTGGTACATGAGTACCGGTTGCGTTTGGGCGGGATTATGCACACGGGGGGCTATATGTGTGTTACGTGTGTGTTACGTGTGTGCGCCCCACATCAACGTACGCCACCCAGTCGGACTACTACATCACACTTACCGTAAGGTTGCGCGTCAGCGCACAGGGGTGCGATCGATTTTCAAATCGTAATTTCTCCACAGCCAGGAGGGTGCGAGCGCCAACTGATGCTTCTCAGGAAAGCTCTCGATGAGATATTTCCAAAACCGCCCTTTTCGACAGCAGTGGTACCCTCCTGGTTGTGGAGAAGTTACGCTTTGAAAATCGATCGCACCCCTGTGCGCTGACTCGCAACCTTACGGTTTTCCGAAGGTTATGGGGACCTCGTTTCCTCCAGCGCGAATTGGAAACAGTCACCCGAAGACTCCAATCTATGAATCCTCGGGAGGATAAAAACCTGTTAGCGAAAAACCTGTTAGCGGCAGCATATATATATATACCAACTAGCACTTTAAGAATGATCCATCGATCTTCCTCTAGAGTTGCCGTGTTGCTCCCTCTACCCAGGGATGGACTGTACGGAAACTCTGGAGTATTACCAGTGGTTGTTTCCTCTAGAGCATCCAAACTCATACTCCTCCACTCAACTTTCTTTCTGGATAATACTCTAGAGCAAAACGAAGCATAGTTTCCTCCGTGCATCATGTTGACCAATATCCTCTAAGAGGTATATTTTGATCTACTATCTTTCGAGAGGAATGAGTGACATCTCCTTCTAGGGGAATTCCATACTGATGCAGCCGAACAACGTTCCACTAGAGGGTTCAAAAATCAACATTCCTCTGGAGTTCAATCAAACGTTTACCTCTACGCAGAGATTAGATTGTGCGGAAACTCTGGAGTATTTTAAGTCGGTGTTTCGTCCAGAGCATGCGACCTCATCTCCCTCCAATAAACTTCCTCATTAATACTCTAGAGCAAAATGAGAGACGTTAGGGCTTGCGGCTACCCTGGGGTATTAACAGTATATATTTCCTCTAGAGCATCCTACTATCATACACTCCGAATATGTTTGTCATAAATACTCTAGAGGAAACAAGGCAAGGGTGTCCTCTGGAGGCTACATTGCTTGATATCGTCTAGAGTTATATGGGTCTTTACTATCTTCTAGAGGAAACTACACACGTTATCCTCTAGAGTAATTGCATTACAATTACTTCTGAGTCGTCGGGAGGATAATATTTTGAATACTCTAGAGGTTTTCAAAGTACGATACCTCGGGAGGTTGGGTATTGTTTGAAATTCCTCCAGATGATATGTGCTTATCCAATCATCCTCCAGAGTATTATGTAACTCGGATTTAAGAGGAATTTTTATGCATCAATCCTCCACGCGTGTGACAATTACGTAACATCCTCCAGAGTATCAGTAAAATGGAATTGTAGAGGTTATTGAACTTAGAAATCCTCCACGGGTGTTACAAAGAAGAAACATCCTCCAGGGTATCAATAAAACTGGGATTTTAGAGGAAAATATGTTTTGTAATCCTCTACGTGTGGACCAATTATTCTCTATTCCTCTGGAGCAATTGTGCATTCACAACCCCAGAGGTATTTGGTCGTCCAGATCCTCCAGGGCGGATATAATCTCCTGGGATGATTTAAATTGTAATCCTCTAGAGGGATACTGTTGCTCTAGAGGATTATTTTCGCTCTAGAGGAATAAAATCGTAATAGAGGATTATCAGCGGGCAGCCGATTGGCCACCTGTGGAAACTTCGGACGCAGAGAAATTGTCGAAGGAACAACAAGTGAAAACGATCCGTCAAAAGTATGCCACGTATTCCACGACCAATCTGACGAGGCTGCCACTTTTAGCTGGCCAGCGCATGAGTGTCGCTGAAACTGTTTCCTTTTGTCGTCTACTCTGGTCAAAAATGTGGAAGAACTGAGGTTGGGAGCAGGAGATACTTCAAAATCGTCGGATTGGGTGCGGGGGTGGGATATATAGCACTTGAGAAGCATGTACTGAATGAATGCGGTGTCGTCGCGACTTCCGAACGCGCAGGGGTTAGATCTCAAGGCAAAGATCACCTTATCCTTCAGCCAGACCAGGCAGCAACTGGAAAATGGCATGGAAGGACAAGCTGCACTGGATTACCTGGTGAGGGCGTTAACCCGGACGCTGAGCATGGCGACGCCTCAACATGCGGTGTTTGCTTTACAAAACTTGGAAGTGGATGCAGGAACACCATTTTCAGAATACATGAATACCTTAAGAGCTTTGGTGCAGAATGCCATGAGTGATGGACATGCGAGTGCGCAAGACAATGTGCTGCAGCTAGCAATGCGTGACATGCCACAGTGTTTGCGACCAGTACAGTAATATCTCGATGAATGTATTTATTGGGAGGGACCCGATGACTGTATGTACCGTATGACAGCAGTATTATTGGGGAATTGATGGATGGATGCGCTGGAAGCTTTGGCATGGAACACGACTGAAGCTACGGCGGTGAAAAGAAATACCATGAGTGAGTGAGTGTGCAGACAAAAAGGGCAGGACAAGGAGGAGGGAATGCAAGCGCAGGAACGAAGTCTTATGCGAGTGCCGCTAGTACAGGAAGGATGTATGGTAAACAGCCCTCTCAGGAGGCAAGAGTGATGAATTTTCATGAAGAGATGGAAGACGAAGAACGAGAACTTAAAAGAGTGCACTTTGTGGCGAAACAATGGGAGCAAGGAAAGAAAGGGTGATGAATCTTACATCCCTTTTGATACACGGTGTGAAAGCCGACAAGCACAAGATATGGCACGACGAGCCTATGGGTTAAAGTGTTTGAACTGCGGTGATCAGTCACACTTTGTGCGAGAATGCATTCACTCACCCTTCCTTTCATAAACAAATCGAACATGCTGAACCCGGAATTGGGTCAGGGACCACCGCAATTGGTCAAGGAAAGATGGTCAACATGGTTGAAACGACTCAGAGACTGGCATGAACAGCATAGACGGCATGGATGAAGGTGCAACGGTAAGAAGGTCGCCTTCCAGGTAGCACGTTGGCCGTTCAATCCGCCTTGTCCAGACAACAACAGGAAAAACAAAGAAAACAAAGGAACTGAGGTCAAGAGTTACGACATTGCTCCAAGACCAAGAGAGTTTCAGGGTATGGACGGGCGAG